GTGGTCGTGGTCGTGGTAGTGGTAGTGGTCGTGGTCGTGGTCGTGGTCGTGGTCGTGGTCGTGGTCGTGGTCGTGGTCGTGGTCGTGGTCGTGGTCGTGGTGGTGGTAGTAGTAGTAGTAGTAGGAGGAGCAGGAGTAAGAGTAGTCGGAGTAGCAGCAGTAGCAGCAGCAGCAGCAGCAGCAGCAGCAGGAGTAGTAGTAGTAGTAGTAGTAGTAGCAGTAGTAGTAGTAGTAGTAGTAGTAGTAGTAGTAGTAGTAGTCTGGGTAGTAGTAGTGGGAGGAGAAGTGGAGGAGTAGGAGTAGGTGGCAGGAGTAGAAGTAACTAGGAGGTAGGTGTAGCAGTGGTAGTGGCAGTTGCCGTCGCAGTCACAGTGGCAGTAGCAGGAGCAGTATAGCAGGTCAGCCTGGAATGAAAGAAGCAGTAGTGTCTGCAGCAGCAATGGCAAGAGACTCAGTAGACTCGCTACTTGTAGTAGTCGTGTCCCTGGGCATGTTGGTGCCACAGGGTGCAGAGGACAGCCATTTCTAGCCGCTAGACATGAAACCTGCCTGCCAACTGCCGTATTGAGGCATTGCCAGTGAAAGCAGTGAATGCAGGATTGAAGGAATGGGTCGAGATATGTCGAGATCGAGGTTGTATTTGAAGGTTGTGCTTCGGGTAAGTAAGCTGGACGCATGAAGCCTTTCACTGTTCTCACAGCGTCGCCGGGTTTGGATCTGGCAAGCGGCAAAGCCGAGTGGCGATAAACATAACTGGGTCCTTGTTAATTTCCCTGCTCAAGCACAAAATTGTCACAAGATCTGACGGCTGTATTGTCCGGTGGTTGACTCGCCGGCAAGCTTGAGCAGGGCCCAACACAGCAGCCCAGATGAAGGCCAATGAAGCAGGTTCTCCCGGCAATCTGTCCATTTCAATTTCACACATCCGCCTCTGGGGGTTTGCCCACCTGGTGCAAAAAAAGAAGGAGCGGGAAAGTTAATGATGAAGTCAGCCAGTCTCGGTCGGCTCAGAGGGTGGATTTATGTGATTTAGGTGCTAGTGCTTGCAGGAGGGCCCTTTCACTTGATGGCTGAATCGATGCGTTGCGCTTTCGACACGTTATCCAACTCTTTCGAAGCTGAGGCAAGACACAAACTTTGGCATGAAGGCCAGCCTGGGAGAGTGTGTAGCATCACATCGTAAGCTGTGCAGCAGATCAACCAGCAATATTCACGGACTGCTGCGCCTGAAGACTCACAGCTATCGCATGCCCGTGGTACAAGGATGTACAAGGCTGTTCCACGGCTTCAGCCCTTGCTCCATCGATTGATGTTCTTATCGGTCTGCCCTATGCACGGAGAGAAATCACGGAAAGATGCCTCCCAAATGCAGTCGCTACCCCGCCTGCGCCAACATCACTTAAGTCATTTTTGCTGGCTGCGGCTGCTGCCGCTGTTGTTACTTGTTGTTACTTGTTGTTGTCGTCCTCCTCCTCGCTTCGCTTTTGTCTGACTTGTCTATTTGTTTCCAGCACGAGACACCCTGCGTTGGATGTGAGTGGTGAACCTGAGTTGATTAAGTTGCGCCTGTTATGTCCGAAAACCTGAATCGACTCATCCAGAGTCCGTAAAACGTCTCCGACGAAAACGCTCAGTTGCCCCGAGCCGCCCCGACACCCCCCGCCCCCACTTCCCATTCGGTGGCGGAAACTTGAAGCCGGAGGACCTGAAGACCGTGAAGGTTATCGGGGCCGGCGCCGCTGGGGTGGTCCGCCTGGTGATGAACAAGAAGACAGGCACCGTTCAGGGTCTTCTGGTTTTGGGCTTCCGGGTTTCAGATTTCGGCGCCCGTCATGTTTGAAGCTGCAGAAGACCATACTGTCGCAGGCAGAGTTGTTGAAGCAACGCTGGTTGCTCAAAGCGTGGGAAGGCATCAGTTATGATAGTCATGGGCAGCGCAAGCAACTCTTCTGTCTGGTGCTTAGTGGGGAATGGGGGAATGGATCCCTATGATAGTCCCTTAAGGTCCCTTACAGTAGTCCCTGTAACCCATTCCCCCATTCCCTGCTAAGCACCAGACAGTCTTAGGGCCCCTCCGAGCTTTGAAGCGCTAGACCCGAAGAGAGCTCCTTTGCGACAGGCATGAGGCAGCTTGCCTGCATTTTCCAGCTGCTTGCGGCTTTGGCGGGAGGATCTCCATCTGTGATATTCTTCAAGTTTTAAAGCTAATGATATGATCGCCCTTGCTAAGTGGTTATGTCTGTCTGCCTGTCTCTCTGCATCTGTGTGGATGTATTTTTGTATGTTTTTTGTAGGTATGTCCACGGCTGTGTGTGTAAGTATGAGTCTATGTGTATGTCTGCATGTCTATGTAAATATACACAAATAGCTACTCTTACATACATATTGTGGGTTTGTGTGTATATATATATATAGGTGTGTGTGTGTGTGTGTGTTTGTATGCATATCTGCGACTGTGTGTGCATTTTGTTTATTGTCTTGGTTCTGTCAGTACTCCCCGTCTCCTTTCGCAGTGTGGTCATGTGCGGCAAGGGCTTGGAACAGCCTCCCATGCCGTGGAACGGGAGCTGTCGGGTAAGTCATATGTAACGGTAGTAGTTGATTATGGCAAGAGCATAAAGAGTATAGCCGGAAGACATAGAGCCAAGGCAACAAAAGCGAGGATATATTTTCTATAGTTAAGACAACATCAATCAATACATGCAGTCCGAGAAACGACCAGGTATGCGCTGAAGCGCGTGAAGAAGAATGGCGGGAAAATCCCCGTAGAAGTCAAGCGCCTCTTGGCGGCAGCTTTTGGGTCCGTCGCCTTGAGCTTAAGGCTTACTTGGAGGATCATGGGACTTAGTAAGTAAGGTTATAAGTCCCTTAATTGGGGTTAAAAGTATAGTTACCCTAATTATAACCCTACTTACTAAGTCCCATGATCCTTTAAGTAAGGCTTAAGGTTTCGCCGTTCGAGGCTTCGGTCGGTTTGCTTAGGATCCCGTCGCCCTGTGTTGAGCTGTGCCAGCGCACGTCCAGAGCCTGCCTAGCGGAGTCCGACTCACGAATGGCTACTTTGTAGGCAAAGAACCCTGGCACCGACGGGGAAGCCGCAGGTGAGTGCGAGCTTCTCAAGGCGCAAGAGCATCCCTTCATCATGCGACCCGGCACAGCTTGCGAGTGAGATGCGTGCAGTTTTTGGGAGATCTGCATGTTCGGCCGCTTTGTGCTCGGGATTGGAGAGAGCCTGGTGAGGAGCTGGCAGGCATTGACTTGTTCAGCGCTCTCTGTTCAATGGTGGGCCGAGCTAGGAAGGTGTAGGCAGTTTTTCCCCACCTGAGCGCTTGGTTTGCCTTAGGCGACTCGTGCAAACGTTCGAGACGAGCAAGAGCGCAGCTCCATTGCAAGAGGTTGGTGCAGCATCTGAAGTTAGAGGACCTCAGAACCAGTTTGCCGGTGATGTTTGCACCTTAAACCCTCAAGGGGGCAAGCCCGAACAGAGGAGTCGGTTTGGGGATGCTTCAGAGAGTGAAGGAGTGACTCAGGTCTACATCCTAACGGAGCTCATCACTGGCGGCGAGCTCCACGGCGCGATCCGCGAGATTCCCACCGTGCTCTCCAGGCCGGGAGTCCGACTCTTTCAGAGCCTGGCATACTTAAAGGATCATGGGACTTAGTAAGTAGGGTTATAATTAGGGTAACTATACTTATAACCCCAATTAAGGGACTTATAACCTTACTTACTAAGTCCCATGATCCTCCAAGTAACACACGCGCTTGTTGCATGAGCCCCTAGCTTGCCAGACGTCTGAAGGTGCTTTCAGGCGGCTTCCAAAGAGACCTAGCCAGCCATCTGCCTCGAAGAATTTGTTGATGAGAAACACGAACCAAAATGCGAACCATGTATTTTTGGCTCAAGATCTTTGGCTCTTTGCATCGAATTTCGTAGCCGTGGTCTGAAGAACAGTCTCCGTCGTCATGGCCATCCAGTTGGTGCCGGCGATGGTTTTGCTCGTTTTCGTGGTGAGTGGCAGCGCCTTCCGTCCCGATCGACGTCAGGCGGGGGCTTGGCCGCCTTGGCTCGATGACGACGCAGCACCCCAGTGGGGGCAG